TCGATCGCTCACACATTAAAGTTGCGAATTAGCCAAAGTCCTTTTGAGTGCGAGATGCTATTAAAAAGTGAGCATATATCAGCAAAAAAAAAAAAAAAAATCTTTATGTTTTTTGCAGAAAGGTTGTGGATCCCGCCGTCAACTATGATGACCGGACAGAACTGTGCTACTCACTGGGAAAAGCTAACATAGTGTAATTAGTTGTGAATTTTCCATGAATTTACCTGAACAATATTGCCAAATTTATCAGCCCTGTCTGTCTTTTGTGGAATGACAAAGTTCCTTCCTGTTTGTCCCGTGGCTGCATTTGCAAACTGCGATGACAACATCTGTTGGCGTTTTCGTTTTTCTTCCTCTTTTTTGCGTTTCTCGGCTTCCTGCTTCGCTTTACGCTCCTCCTGAAAAATATTTTAGATGCTCACGCGACAAGCCAATTTGTTTGATTCGTTCCTGTCCGAGGCAACTGCACTGGGTTGTAACATCGTGACGTGCGAGACATAATTCTACTGAAATCCAAGGAAACATTCCAAACACAATGTCTTTGTCTAAACATTTGTAATAAAGCTCATTTTATGCATCATCAGCGTTAAAACTAAAAAAGGAATCTTAGAAAAAAATGAAAATTCAAGCAGCGCTAGAGATCCAGTTCAGTTTAAATGTGTTAGGTGCCTCTACATGCGCATTTCTAAGGGAGTTAAATTGACTGCTAAAACAACAGAATTTTGTACTAGACTATCTGGGAAAGCTTTATGGAACATACGAACTGGAACTAATTTTAGCGATTTTTTACACATATCATTCAGGGATAAAGCTACTGAAAAGGTTTGTAAACCTCTTCCTGCTTTCTTCTTTCTTCTTCTTGTCTCAGTTTTTCCTGGAACTGACGCTCTTCCTCCTCTCGTTCCAGTTTTCTTCGCTCTTTTTTTTCCTTAAGTTTCCTCAACTCCTCTTCTTCTCGCTCGCGTTCAACCCGACGTCGCTCTTCATACTCTTGAAGTTTCACAGCTTCTTCCTCCTCTTGGCGTCTTTTTGCACCCTGCAAAGTAACTGATCTTCATATTCATTTATCTAAACGCGCTTTTGCAATGTAGGCTTGGGACCGGATTTCCTAGACAATAGATCAGAATTATTCAAAATAGACGGATGCTGCTTGTTTTCCTTTTTTCAGATTCCGAAGAAAATTAGGCATAACTCAATGTTTCTTTTAACCATCACATTTTGCGTATAAGATTATTACACAGTCATTCATAATAAATAAAATAGTTCACAAATCAGTCAATAATGTATTCACCAATGGTTCAGAACTATATTTGGCAAGCATATTTTAAATAAATTGCGGGAAATGTCCTCAAACAGTAAAAAGTAGTTTGAAGTGGTAAAATAAAAAATTTCGGCTGAGCGATTCGCTAGCTGTCTATTAAAAAGCGGAAAATCGCATACCAGCATTGCTTTTTCGGCTTCAGTCATATCTTTTTCATCTTTTTCAATGACAACAATCTGCGACGGTCGCCGTGAGGGTACTCGCCTATAACCAGAAGTCTGATTAGAAA